ACGCGTTTTTTTAAATACGACAAAAGTATGAAAGCATTTCAGTTTTGCCGTATTTATTCGTTCTGCGATACTCTGATATTGCGTGCGGTAAATACTAACATCAGCGAGAACGGCAAAAGTGACATTTCTCAAAGATTAAAAATGAACAAAGGGACGATTTCGAAAATTATTAGTAAATATCAAGAACACGGCCCAGGTGCGGAAGACCGAAAAAAAACCGATTATGTTTTGGATCGCTACATTAAACCTTTGTTCCATGAAGATCCTCGAATGCCAGCCACACAGTTGAAAAAAAAATCGCAGAAGAGGTTGCGTTCCCGAGAATCTTTCTAACAGAACAGTGCAGAGACGCTTGGTGGATTTTGGGCTTTTTGGTGAGCACAAGCCTATCATTTAAAAAAAATCGTATTGCTTGGCTTGAATGTACTAAAACTCATCAACTTGGACAGAACAATAATGGAATACAGTGTTATGGAGCGATGAGAGCAAATTTAACTGACTAAAAAATGTTAATGTTCTTACATGACCTTCGCAATCCCCGGACCTAAACATATCTGGGAGCATGTTAAAAGACAACTGACAGGAAAAACTCCCAAAAATAGGAACGATTTATTTGATTGTGTTGAAAATATTTGACAAAATATCCCAACAGACGTCTGTAAAAAATTCGTGTCTTCTATGAGCAGCAGATGTCAGACAGTGATGAATGCTAATGGCTATGTTACCAAATATCAGCTAAACAGTATTTTTTAAACCTTATTGTAGAATTATTGTATTTAATTTTGTAATAAAAAATATGTTTTCATACTTTAGTCGTCTCATTTTGGATCATAAGATAATACGAAGGTATTTTAATGCAGCAAACACAAATTGTCATTTGTATCCGCAAGACTATATGAGAAAAGAATAGTCCTCAATAATAAAGAATAAAAAATTAGTACACTTTTCAAAAATTACTAAGAATGTTTCCAAAATTTTGTCTGCTACTGTATTTTTAACGTTAATGGAATAAATGAGATAACATTACACAGTCGACGATGTCCTCTAATGCATGGTTGGCGTGCAACAAATTTGATTAAAATACTATAAAATAAGATAATCTTTCAAACATCCCTCTTTCTCAGACAATAAGTTTTGCAGATTGTTCTATATGAATAAGGTTTCATCTCATCGAAAAATTATAGCTTCAAAAGATGTGATTGGTGATCACAGCGTTAAGCGCGTAAACTAATCTATATAAACAACGTCGTTATGCTTAGTATTCCAGGTAATTCATTCCGTCCCTTTTTCAGCCATACATTGTATTTTAATCGAAGCGTATATACAATACATAGCCAACGTGAATGGTGAAACAGAACAGTCCGCAATGCGGATAAATAATTTTCCCGGTAAAAACCGGTCAAATTAGATGTCGCTCGGGCTATTTTTGAATAAATATCCTTAAACGAGAGGATCTCTGTATTCTGTTACCGCCAATACTCTGGCTGGTCTACGGGGTGTTATCCAAAAGTTTTTTCCATACCCTGTCGATCGCATTGTGTCTGGATCCATTCTAATGGTTCTTATGACTTGTTTCACAGAGAATTCACTAACAGCTCTCTTCTACCGCTAAGTCAACGGGCTTTGCTCCTCGGTACTCTCCTTTATGATGTCGCAGCGCCAGATGGACCCACCTGACTTCGGCCTCCCACCAACTTCGTAGATTTAGAACTGACCAATACGACCGTTCCTTTGTCCCTAGGGTATCGAGATTGTGGGACAATATACCTGAAGTGCTCTGAATATAGATCAATGGACGAACTTATCGTGAATGGCGATATGACCTACACTGGACTGTGACGCTACAGAGAGAGACCACTGGATGCCGCTAGTATCTTCGTGTAGGCGCTCCTTTATGTCTATTGACCTGGCTCAAGCCAAGCCTGTCTGGAACTCTTAAAGCTAATTTGTCCTATGCAGTAGTTAGCAAGGGGTAATATCGAGAGCCAGTTAATTGTAATGCAGAACAGTTGGCTGTGAAAAACAGTTCCCCATTAGTAAACTCGTTTAATAAAGGCCATGACGTTTTTGGAATTACATTAGCCAATTAAATATAATCCAGCGGCTGGGTTAATATAGGTCAACCGAATCTACTGCCACTGAAACATTTTCAACTATTCAACGAATTTAATCTTTTTGATTAGACGTTACGTCGGTTGAGTTACATGTACTTTTAATAAAGACCCTAAAAGGACCCCGCACAAAACATATGGAAAATGGGTTCCACTTAATTTGCCTAAAAATTCAGCGTGATATATTTCGCACTTTCCCGAAAAGAAGTTCTGATGGAACCAAAGCAATCCTAGGATTGGTTCCTGAGAAATAGGGGGTAGAAGTTTGCCTATTTGCAAAAATGGTGAATGTACCGATGTTGCTCTTGGCCATGAGCCTTACAAGGTCCAATCAAGGGCAAGCTAATTTCTATTCGTTGATATTGGAATGAATCTGGCACGGGTTTCAGAAAATCTCGCCAGTGGCGGCGATGCAACGGGCAAAAAAAAAATAAAATGAAAATCGCTTTTTTTAACGTTTCAAAGGCTCCTTCGAATATCCTGCCGCATGCCGCGGCGTTGTCGAGGGAAGTGAGCCTATCTACTAGACGTTAATTTTTTTTGCAAATCTAGATTCAGGAAGAGCAGCAGATGATTTGCTGAAACTGGATCGGAGATTTTGTTCTCTACCTAGCGTAGTATGGCGGAACGACTAGACTGCAGATGATTCCCAGATGATTGTGTCAATCAGTTGGTATAATACGCAAACAAGTTTTCTAATACAGAAGCAGCCTCGTAGACAGAAGCCTAAACGCCTAAACATCGCGTCTGGCGTAAGGAGCTTAAAGACCTCTTTTTTAACAGGAAAAAGTTAGTAGAACTGGGAAAACCCTTCGCAGGCAGCTTGTTCCACAATGTTCGATAACCTAGGAACAAGGAAGTGGTCGTATCGGCCAGCTCTGGATGTTCGAAGTTCGATACGTTTAGGCGGGGAGGCCGAAGTTAGGCGGGTCTGTCTGGCAGGCTCGTCGCGTCATGAAGGACAGCTCTGAGGAGCAAAGCCCGTTGACATAACTGTAGAAGCAGCGTCCCTTAGAGAAGTGTCACTCATCAGTTGCACAGCTCCTCTCTAAGAAGTATCAAGTATGGACAATCGAGTCGGGACAGCAGCACCCTAAATATGTGAGCAGTACTCGAAGCTAAATCATGGAGACAAATACTTCTTAGCCCAAAATAAATAGCGTAGCATTTTTCCAGCAGCTACCGCGATTAACGACATGTGTTCGTGCCAGATGTAGTCCTCGGTGATCTTGACTCCAACCAGCCGAAATGAACGACTCTTTGGTAGAACTATGCCATCCATCGAAACAGGTCCTAGTCAAGGTGCATACGTCCTGTCACTAATCTAGATCTAGATATTCGAGCTCCCGACTTATGATCATAATATTTGACCATTTTTTGGAACGGCCTTGACATAAGCGAATTTCCAATTCTCTTGGACGTTAAATTTTTGAGATAACGTCGCGGATACAGAAATGTCCTAAGGAAGTTAGTCATATAGACGGAAACTATTATTATTACTAAACAATATGTTTAATCATTAATGATAAAACTATGTGTATGATAAATTGCCATTATTCGATTGTTATGACATTCTCATTGAAGCGGTGCTAGCGATGCGAAAACATTTGTCGGACACATTTGATTACTAGGCATGAATATTCGATTATCATTATCGGATCTAGAAAATATCAATATCCATGCTAAACATGCTTGCATGGAGTTTCTTAGAATGATCAACGGTTCATTGTGATATGATCTATATATTTTTTAATTCAGTAGTGTTGATTAAAATGTATACAGCGTTATTCTCTAGTGTCCCTTTTCCATTTATTGTTTGAAGCTCTGCCGGTGCGCTGTAGAAAAGCTTATCGCTGCTTGAGAACGCGACAATCTGATAGGGCTCAATGCTTCCAAAACACAGTACTGTATCTTGACTAACAAGAAGTGTCCTGGCGCTCATCCTGTTTTGATATATGGCCGAGTTCTACCGAAGAGCCACTCATTTCGGCTGGTCGGAGTCCAGATCACCGAGGACTGGATCTGGCACGAACACATCTCGATAATAGCGGCAGCAGCTGGGAAAAGTTTGGCTATTTGTTTAGGGCTAAGGGATACTCTTCTCCACGTAACCTCCTCACTCTGCACAAGGCCCAGATAAGACCTAAGTTCGAGTACTGCACACATGTCTAAGGCGCTGCCGCCCTGACTACATTATCCATACTCGATGTTGTTAAGAGAGTTGTTGATCGATGACCCTTCTCTAACGGACAGCCACGGGACCAACGAGTTCTCCTATACGATGCCGCCACGTAATGTAGTTCCTAACCGTGTCGAACTTCGTACATCCAGAACTGGTCGGTACGACCGCTCCTTTGCCTCTAGGGTGTCTAGATTGTGGAAAAAGCTACCTCATTTGACAAATATTTGAATTGAAGAACTATCTCGAGTGTTAATGATATCTAGTAAATATTGAATGCGCCTGTAACCGATTGACTTGATATCCATAAGGAGCCTCATCATGATGTATCAGATATGCGTCATTCCATTTAGTTATATCCAAGATAGTGCCCAGACGCGATTTCTTAAGCCATATGTATGTAATCTAAAGGGACGCGATAATGTTATTTATGATTTCAATCAAATGGCGAAATTGTGCGCCGATGTATGCTCCATAACGTCCTAAAACATCAAATTTTATCAAAATCGGTTCGGCGGTTACCGAGATTTCGTAATTGCTAAAATGCATGCTATCATAACGAAAAACAGACGGATATGAATTACATGATATTTTGTGATTAAATCATTCAAAAACGAATTATCTAAAATACAGTTTTTCAGTTCATCTAGTATACCAGCGTGTATACGAATACTGGAAAAATACTATACAACCATCACTTCACAAAAGAACCAGCATTCAGGTGCAAGCCTACGTGACATATGCATAGCTTTTTTGTGTCTAGCGAGCGCCACTGATTTTGCTTCAAGATGCAGTCTGAATTAGAATTGAGAAAATACAGTGTCCAATTTTTACAGCTGATGCTGAAAGAAGCAAATAAGGTGATCCACGACGAGTATGTATTACACTGTTATATAGAATATATTTTTACTAGTATTAGTAGTAGTAGTGAGGACGCGCAGCCAGGCAAGGAGGCCTCATTTGGCTCTTTTTGCTGACCTAGAGTGCAACTTCAATATCAAACTCCATGGCTCAGAATATCCCAGACCTTAGATTGCAATATGCGAGGCAATAGCCCAGAAAGTGGAACGCTGTCTCGTCCTCCTCTCAGCACAAGGGGCAGGCAGGACCTCGGCTTACCCTTAAAAGCTTTCCCCAGCTTCCTATACACCTATTCAGGGCGATGTTGACCTGACGCCTGTTTATATCCAGCCCATGCTCGGGACCCATGCAGGTGATTCTTGCGCCCCAGCCTAGCCAGTGTCCGGAGACCCAAAGGATGTTTTATTTTTGGTCACGACTTATGAATCACCCTGTATAGGCCGTAGTTGAGATAAGCAATAGCTTTCTCTTCGAAAATGAGTAGCTGCGCCAATCTACTTGACATAATTGTTTTGTTCGATTACTTGTGAGTGCGTGCAGAGACCTTTTAAAAGTTTTGTTAACTTTAGACAGTTCACAAATCAGATTTAATTTTTTTCTAAGACTTTGGAGTCTAGTGAAAGAATTTGAGGTCCATCTGATCTATTGAAACTCACCGTACTCTAATTGTCAGCCTATGCAGTTGCTAAATTAAATTTCAGTCGTTACGGCACTGACACATGTAGAAAAAACAAAGTACATTAATGCGACACTGGGTGGAAATAAAAAGAATTAACTAGGTTTTAATTATTTCGTATTGCATCGTATCAGACATCCAAATTAAATATTTACAATACGATTCCAGGAGTAAGCAACAGGAACTTAGGGAGAGAGCCCAAGAGGAGAAGGAAAAGCTTGAGAGGGAGTTAGAGGTCCGAGCAGGTCTAGACGAGATCAAGAGGATGCACACCAGAGCTCTTAATGATCTGTATATTAGTGGAGACAACGCATTCGAGCGACGTTTGTAAATGTTTAGTGCATTTTCAAATATATGGAGTTAAAGTCATTTGATTAATAGATTATTTTCAGATGTACATCTCGAATTATTCTAGATCCTAGCCACTCCGTTGCTTGCTGACAGGCAATGTTGCCAGATTTACCGTTTTGATAAGCCCAAGCCTACCATTTTCTTCAATTAAATGTAAGAAATTGCTATATTTTTTGATCTCTCTCATAATTGGTTGAAATTCTATATTTGATTTTGATGTTGTATGAAATCTACACTCCAAAACAATGACAATTATTTTTATCGATTCATCTACGAGGGACACTGAAAAGAAATCCACCTAGCCACCGAAAAAATAATTGAAACGCACGAGCATATTATGTCAAATACTGGCATGTATTCTTACCTTACAAAATTTGAGTTAAGTTTGATACTCAGTTTCCAATTTATACGGTGAATTGTGAGGAAAAATGCGTTCCTTAAATAAAGTATCGCCCCAGCCCCCTTGATTAATATTGATAATAAAATCGTACGACGTTTGTTTCATGGGTAGGCATGATTCTTTTCTAGAATCCCTCGTATTATCTATCCAGCTGATGGCATGTTTTTCATCATCTTTAGAGAAACTTAATTTTTGATAATCATTGCAGTGGCGGTAAGTTAATGTGTAAGAGAATTAAAGCAAACCAAAACCTTATTTTCAAAAAAAATTAGTTTTATTTCTGTACGAGAAAATTGTTAGAGCGAAGAAAGAGTGGAGGGTGCCAAAATAAGTAAAATTCGCAACGTCAGATATTCACATGATACCGCGGTTCTTGCTTATATGAAGGAAGAGACCGAGAGAAGAAATAATAAAGCAAGAAAAAAGAAAGAATAAGTAAGAAATCAGAAAGAAGAAAGGAGAAAGAATAGAATAGGTAAGATTATACCATAATAGTCGTCAACCCCTGAAAGGATGGCACTTAGGAGGAGGAGTTCTCCTTCATGACGCCATGAAATTTTAGGCCACTCAAGTTCAACCGCATATGCGATTTCAAAACTCGTCAAGATCTCTATATCGTGACGAACTTCGATCTTCTATAAAAAATGCATCGTTGATGGTTGCTGCTGCATCTCTCCGAATGCCTTTAAGGAAGCGGAGATAGTAGCAAAGATTCTTGTTTGAATCGGGCTTTAAGAAACAAAGACAGCTAAACTGTTAGTCTAAAGAAGAAATTGTTTTGGGATCGCGAAAGGGCTATTATGCTCGTTGAAGGAGCAGAAAGTTTTGCGCAAAACTTTTCTTTAATGTTCATTTAATCACAGCAAATACCTCCTTGACGTTTCGCCACTTGGAGCTTTGAAACGGCTCAAAGTTTTTCCATCAAATAATTTTTAAAATCTTCCTTAACGCCAGTTACAAAGCGCTAGTCATTCCTTGGTTGTAGTTCTTTTAATTATTTAAAGGCCCCGTTTACGTTTTTAATGAACTGCTTTTTATTAACGAACGGAAAATTGACCCAACTACACTCAGCTAGTCTGCAACGCGCTGGGAGTATGGGTGAACTGTAAATAACTAACAAATGGAGACAGTCGGACAGACAAAATAGAATTAGAAAGATAGAAATACCTAAAAAATTAAAGCTCACCGAGCTTGCTCGAAATACCAATTGAATAAGTATTATGAGCAAAAGATTTCACAGCTAATCATATTTGTCAGCGACTCTTTATTTTATCCATTCAGAGTAATATTTTTAGGCACTTACTTAACAGAAAGCAGACTTATAAGGAGGGTTGGTTTGGGATCCTTTTTTGAGGATGGACTTGACATGAGTGAATTTCAAGTCATTTAGGAAAGTACTGGAGCCGTAACATAGCTGTAAGACATGCCAAAGAATTGGAGCAAGCTCTGCTGCGACGGATGAACCTGGCGTTTGTTGTTGGAAGGTACTGGAATGCACTCGTCTACACCTAAATTTAGTTTCGAGTTGGTCCACGTTGGGCTATGTTCTTTGCTAATGTCTAGCGACAAGGACGATTTACTGCTGGCTAGTGCAGAGTTTTTAATCGACTAAATACTAGAAGCGCAACAAATCCTGTCCAGAACAAATCAAACCTCCCTTTGATGTACCGATCAAGGAGCGAACGCAATCGAACGCTAACTGCCGACCTTGAAAACCGTTGGATAGTGCCGTACACACCAATTCGAACAGCTAGAAATCTGTAACCACATGTGCCTTGGCTCGCGCTGGAATCTCCATCTGTACGCGACTTTAGACTGTCCAGTCAAATTGGTTTGGCTTGGCGTTCATACCTTTGCCACAGCAGTGTCTCCGAAACACTGTTCTGTGCTACTGTTCCAGGATATAACAGAGTTTGGCTAATATTGGTATACTGATCCACCATGGTTATGAAATGTACTACTAGTTTGTATACTGTCAACAGTATAATACCTTCATTAGGTGAAATTCCCCACTTAGTTACGCCATTGAGTATATGTGTTAACAGAAGGGAGTAAATTCGCTGTACCGCACCACACTAACTTTGCAGAATGTGGCCTGAAGCAATGCGGTTACCGCGTTATACGTACTATCGCACATTGTTACACGTCTCACATTCACATCATGCTCTCCCATGGCAAAATATAGTCCGTTTTATGCCCAAAGGTCACTTGGTCATAGGTGGACAGCAACGGAAAGGTTCTTCAGTTGAAATGAATTAGATTAGATACGATTAAGGTAAATGTGAGTATATAAAAATGCGCAGACAACTGTATTGCTCTCAAATTATTCCCGTCGCTCTACCTATCTGTCAACACAACATAACGGATACTTTGAGCTCTTTATACATAAATAACTACTAGGACCCATGGCGTACAGTGGGGCTATAGGGGGATACAGGTCGTGCGACTTGGTGCCGAAAGATTCTGATATGTTTTTTGATAAGATTCTGAAAATGTTTGATCTCGGTATGTGAACAGCATCGAGACAAGCCTTGGCTCTATTATTACGATGTGCCGAACAAAGCTCAAAACAAGGTTTCTGTATTTGATGATTAGGACACACCCGTAAAAAAGGAAAAATGCTTTTTCCAAAACGTAAAATATTCAAAGAGAATAAACATTACATTTGGCAGTGACACTAATGACAATTGACATGACGGCGAAGTGTTGCCAGTCAAATGCATCGAATTAACATTTTTTCGGTGTATATATTTTGTGGCCTGGGGTAGGTATTCCATTCCCTAAAGGACATCCAGCCATCCAAAGCGACAAGCGAGCTTGAGGTTAACTGTCACTTTTTAATGTACACAACACGTCACCCTCGTTCATCGCACTAAAAGTGCCATAAGTCCTCTGAAAAAGCGAAAACTCACCCATCTCAAGGGCATCATTTCCCCACAAGACAAACAACCATGGGCGTAGGAAACGCACACTAGTTCATTTTTGGATTCACCATTTGAGCATATAAAAAAACCTTTTGTTGAACTTTCAAATTGCCTCTGATTTTCTCTGATCTTTGCGGGTATCTACCTCAGGCGTGTTCATTGCATTCCCTAGCTTAGGTATATCTAAGCTTTTACATGATTCCAGTTTCTTCAAGTTCCTAACATTACGGACCAATTTTAAATTAGTTATATCTATCACATATTCCATATTAAATATGTGTTCTATTAAGCTAGATCTGTCTATTCTAACATGCCTCAAATCAGTCAAGTGTTCCTTGAGCCTTGGCCAATATAAGTCATATTGCAATCACTCCAGCTGATTTTGTAAATTTTACTTATTTCAAGTGTATCCACCTTGTCCTTGGAGTTTTCCAGTAAGTCTCAAAGTTTAGAATCGGACTGATATATAACCCTAAATCTCAAATTCTTAAAGACTCTTTCAATATCGTTTGTATAATTGGAGTTGAAAGGTATTGCTAAGCTTTTTGGTAGCTCTCTCGAAACGTTTTCTTAAAAGTATGTTTACTGAACAATTTTCCACAATGTTGGTGTTGACCCTAGCCTCTTGTTTGATTTTTTCCTTTTTTCCCTGGACACTGCTTATCGCAAAGTTGACTAGAAATAGTTTAAATTGGCCATTTTGTGTTGATTACAGTGGATCGAGTTGTTGGTTATCCAGCGCAACTTTCTTTGAAAATCAAATTGCTTCCTTTGTTTCCAATACTGGGGCTGCTAGACAAACAGTCCCTATTCAGCCTATATCTATTCTTGTATAGAAAAACAACGAGATTGAATAAAATCGATGATATGTATGCATCACCCGTACATGAGTTTTTAGTTTCTGGATCATTAGAGAGACTAAAACTTTTTTAATTAAAAATTGAAACGAACGCCGCTACAACCGCCGCCTCGTCATCTTTGCCCTTACTGCCATGGGCGACTTTTGAGGGGATACCTCCATCCCCTTGAATGATAATGTGATACTGTGAAATGGTCTAAAAAGAGCGAAGGCGAAACAGATCAAAGAGTAAAGCGCTTAGGCAATAAATTATGCGACCACGCAACGATACCCATTGAAAAACATTGAACGCCATCTAGCAAGTTTCGATGAAGGCTCTTGAAAACGCGGGACCACTCTGGACACCTCGACTGGAAGATAAATACACACAGAGCAACAGCGGAAACTCAACATAGAATAGTTCAGGCCGTGTTTTCGGAACAGCTTAACCAATCTGACACTATATTCGGGCGTTCGAAAAATTATCCGACATGAATTGAGATACCGTAGCGTTAATTTATCAGTGCTTTCTCCTCTTCGCAGTAATTAGAAGCCTACTTTGAAAAGGTTAGTGTCTCGAAGATGGCGCTATAGCTATATGCTCATATATAGTTGGCTACAGCGCCACCTATGAGGCAAATACCTGTTCAACCTAGACAACCATTTATGGCGGGTAGAACAAAGAGAGTTGTGATAATTCTCTTAGTTACAATATCTCAATTAATTTCGGATAATTCTTTGGTACTGATAATACAGTATCAGGTTGACCATCTTCTGTCACATAAGCGGTAACAAATAAATAAATATTATGTTAATCAATGCTAAAAGACATTGCCTGATTGATGGACGGCATTCCTACAAGCGCGTTTTATCAAATTCTTTACAA